CCAGGTGAACACACTGGCAGATGGCAGACAGGTGCATAGAACAGGTGCTTGAGAGCAGGGCCAGAGCCTGTGTCAGGGCCCCAAGCTCGGGGTGGGCACTGCCCCCAGCATGCCCGAGTCCCATCCTCCCCAAAGGACTCACAGTTCCCTCTTTCGGTTTCTCTTCCAGCTGCTGCTGGCAGCCCCAGGCTGGCGTCTGGGCCCCGGATGTTAGGAGCCACTGCTGCCCCCTTGGTCATCTGAAGCCCTCTTTTCCTCCTGCCTCGGCTCAGAGTCTCTGTGACCTGGCCCCAGCCTTGCCTCTGGATCCTGGCATGCCAAGGCCTGGTCCGTGCCTTCCTGCCCAGCCCACAGAACCCCGGCCACCCCTCCAGCTAGGATGAGGGGCCAGGCACTGCCCCGAGCGCCCTTTGGATTTTCCATCCGCTGCTGTTGCTGCTTCTGGGGCACGAGGCATGTGTGTCCTCAGGGACAGATGTGGTTCCTGGGGCTGAGCTGTGACCCACACTGATGCAGGGCAAGTTCTTTGGGTACTTCTTGGCGGCTGCGAGTTCCCTGCCAGTGCCTCATGCTGCTCCTGGACGCTGCGCAACCCAGACCTGCACCACCACAAGCTCTACATGAAGGTGGCCAAGGCACCGCCTGCAGCAGTCCTGCCCGCATCCACACCTGCCAGTTCGATTCCTTCCTGGAGTCCACGTGCACCTACCTGGGCAGGAAGAGCTGTGACCCTTTGGGGCCCCTGGCCTTCCTGGAGGCCAGCAAGCAGTTCCTGCAGATGAAGGGACAGCAGCCACCCCAGGACAGTGACTGCAGGCCCCAGAGTGGGGCCCTCCTACCCCAGCAACAATTCTGTGGAGCACCTGGTCATGGGCAACCACAGCTCCAGCGACGTGGCTGGTGACCCTGAGAACTGCCTCACCATCCTGACCCAGGATGGGGGCGGTGATGCGCTCCAGGTAAGTGACCGGTGGGGAGAGGCCAAGGGGGCAGCCCCCTGGGCAGAGGGTGAGGGAGAGGGTCTCCTCCTCCGGCCTGCCCTGGCCACCCATCCCTGAGGGCTCCCTTGGGGAAGTCAGTTGCACTGTGAGAATAGGGACCTGGGGTGCCTGCCTGTGGCCCCAGGACCGGGCGTGGGGCCAGCACATTGGGAGGTGCTTGCTGAGTGTTCAGGAAAGGATGGGTCTGGTTTCTCCCGGGATGAGGGAGCTTTTCATTTCTGGCTGGGGGAGGTCCCTCCTCTTGCAGGTAGGATGATTCTGATGGGCCAGTAGGCTGCTGTGGCCTGTGGCCAGGGTCTGCAGGGGCCTCCTGGGACTTGGGAGAAAAAATGAGAGTGGGCTGTCGGGAAGTGTGGTCAGGAGATGTCCTTTGGGGTTTGCACGTGTTGTGGCCGCACAAATCCTTACCGAGCAGCTAGTTAACCAGCGCCTCTGGAGTGTTCTGGTGCAGTGAAGGGGCACAAGGGAAGTCCTTTGTGTCCTGGAGCTGCCTTCCTGGTTGGGGGAGGGGGAAGGCGTTAACAGCCAAACACAAGAAGCAGGCGTCAGGTGAAGGGTGGGAAGTTCCCTGGTGTCGGAGTGTCCCTGCTGTGTGTCATTCAGAGTCAGTGGCTGTCTTGTTCAGGGGGCTGTGTTCAAGATTCTGGAAGAGATGTGAGCAAGCCCTGTGGGTCAGAGGCAAAGGCGGGGATACTTGTGTGCTGGGCGGGTCCCAGCAAGGAGGGGCTGGGGCACAGTCCACCTTTTTAGCAGTTTGGTTTCCTTGGTGAGAAGGCCACCCCTACAGGAGGACGTGAGCAGTGCGCTGGGACCCTGGCCGGGCCTCCATGGCAGCAGGGAAGGTGGGGAGCCCCCCTTTGCAGAAAGCCCAGGATGTTGTAGGAGGCTGGAGCATTAGCCAGGGCAGAGAGAGCAGCAGGTGCCAGGTTAGGCTTTGGCGTTCATGCCGACTGGCCATCACAGGGCCAAGTGACGTGGTCCAGGGCCCTTGGCCTCTCCTGAGCCAGTGGCACTGATGGGTTCCACAGAATAGCCTCTGTAGAGGCACAGAATAAGCTAAGTGAGGTTACAAAAGAAGCTTATTATCCTGGACTTGTTTCTATTGACGGCCCAGGCAGAGGACCCCAGATTAGAAGTGTCTGTGAAGCAGCGAGGTGCCGGAGAGGATCAGGAGAGGAGGGAAGAGGTGGCCAGAGCCCCGGGAAGGGGGTGCAGGTGTGGCATCCAGGAAACATCAGAAAAATCCCTGTCTCCCATCAGGGATCAGGGCCCCCAGGGCTCTTCAGGCTGGGCAAGGTGGAAGTCACTGTGACCTTGGCTGGGGCAGCTCCCCCTCATGGCATGCTGGCGGGAGTGGTCCTCAGCGGATAGGGAGGAGGTGAATGGAACAGACTATAGACGGGTTTGTCGGGGAGCAGAGATGCAGGACAGTGGCTGGTTTTGGAGGTGGGAGGGTACAGGAGGACCAGGTGGGCAGTGGCCTGGCTGTACATCTTACCCGGCAACACCCCAGTGATCACCTGCTCCCTGAGCCTCAGTGTCTTTGCTGGCAAAATGCCACCTGCTTTGTGGGCTGCTGGGTCACAGCGGACATGATGGCCCTGGGTCCTGGCCCACACTGAAGCTGGTCTGTGTTAGCATCAGGGCAGGGAGTGTGCTGAGGAGAGACTGGATAGACCCAGTGGTGCAGAGCTCTCTGGAAAAGATCAAGAAGGCAGGGCTGGTGTGACATGTGTGCTGTTGATGCTGCAGAAAGCTGGCCCAGTCGGGAGGAAGGAGCAGGGTCTGAGGGTTAGGGGTGGAGCTGATGAACTTGTGGATGCAAAGGATGTGGGCATGGAGGAAGGAGGTGGGTGGGCCACTTCCAGATTCCTGGCTGAGGCTGAGGATGTCAGCCAAGGTGGTAAAGCAGTGGGAAGAATGGGCTGGGGAGGAAGATTCGGAGGTCAGAGTGGGCTTGGATGTGAGAGGCCCATGGGTCATCCTGTGGGAATGTCGTTGGAGGACGGAGTTTTGGGACCTAGTGCCCCAGGATAGGACTAGGTCAGGTTCAAATCCCAGCCTGGCACACACACAGTGGGTGTCCCTGTGCCCAACCCATCAGCTCTTCCATCCCCTCAGACCCCTTGTCTTTGAAACTGAAAGAGTAAAAACATCTTTTTCCTTGATTGTCATGAGGAATGAGAACTGGGGTGAAACTGTTTCTAAGCAATGTTACTGATGAAAAGTCGCCTGTATCTTTGTTCATTATCTGGTAGGGAATCTGGAGGGCTGGGGCAGGAAGAGGGAGGTTAGGAGATGGGGTTGGGTATCATGGCCGTGCACAGAGATTCTGAGAATGGGAATGCTGGGGAGTGGTGCTGGAAGGGGTCGGGCAGAACTGTGCCTGTGTGTGTGTGTGCATGTACTTGTGCTTCTGCATCCATGAGTGTGTACGTGTGCTGTGTGTTGTGCGAGCATGTCTGTCTTCACGCATCCATGTTCACAAGTACTGTGCGTGCGTGTGTACATGGCATGTGTGTGGCATTCACACGTGCATTGCCAGCATATATTGTGTGCACAAGGGATGTGTGTGCATGTGTGCAGTACATGGGGCATGTGTGTGCAGTCATGCCTGTCCCCTTCTAGCAAGTCAGTATGTGTGCATTGCATTTTTCCGTGCATGTGTGTGAGCGTGGGAGGTACTTGCGTCCACTGTGTATGAGTGTGTGTGTAGGCCGATTTCAGTAGTCGTGACAAAGCGCGTGTCAAGGCTGTGTGGCAGGGCTGGGGGCCTTAGGGGAAGACAGCTTGCAGGGCCTGAGGGCTGGGGCAGCCACACTGTGAAGCGGGGAGCTCGGCTGCAGGACAGAACACGGTCACCCAGGCCCAGGGTCAGCTCAGACCCCCATGTGCGTGCCCGGGACTCCGAAGGCCTTGATGCTCTGAGACCTTGGGAATGAAAATCATCTTGGTGGTGGTGACAGCAGCCGTGTCTGAGTGTCGACATCCTTTGTGCAGGAAGCACCACCTCTCAACCAGTTCACTCCTCCCAGCAGCCTGGGGATTGGCTCCCCAGCCAGGTGGCCACCTGCGCAGGGCCTTTGCACGGGCTGTTCCCCAGGCTGGAACACTCTTCCCCACATGCCCACAGGGCCCCTTCCCTCAGCTTGCTTGTGCCCTGGCCGCCCTTACCCCCTGACCATGCTGCTTCAAGTGGCAGCAGCCCCAGCCACACTCTCACCATATCCCGTGTCTTTTTCTCTTCCCACATGGCATCGCCTATGAACACTGGATAATTCGTGTGTCCTTACTTTCTGTCCTTCCACGATGTATCCCTCAACATGGCGGGGGAGTTTGCCCTGCTGGCTGATGAAACCGGTACACAGCAGACCCTGCATTAATACTTATGTAGTGGAATGAGGCACAGAGAGGTTAAACAGCAGTCAAGGTCACACAGCTTGTAAGGGGGAGACAGAGGGCAGAGCTTGTCAGCTGGTAGTCCCACCTGGGGTGTCTCCTACACAGCACTCTACTGGGAGAGTGTGTGAGTGTGTGTGTGCACACGCGCACGTGCGTGCACATGCATGTGTGTCAGGGTGGGGTGGCACGCAGACCAGAGAGGTCCAGCAGTCATTCAGAAGACACACAGCTGAGCTAGCAGGTGCTTGTCCCAGTTCTTGCTGTCTGAGCCTGTGCCAGGGATCTTCGCCCCTCACACTGCCTAGGGGAGGCTGTGTCACCTGTGTCCCTCCATCACCAGCCAAGCTGGGAGTCAGCAGGAGGCCCAGGCCAACACATGGCCTCTTTTCAGCTCTGCCACCACCCAGCCTGTCGAAATGCCACATGACATCTGTCTGGCAAGTGTTTCTCGGGCCAGAACAACTGTTCCCTCTCCTCTACCTCCTCCCCCTGCCTGGCGGCCCCTCTGCAGCTACCCTCCCACTCCCCCGGGCTCTCAGCTCCGTGTCCCTCTCTCTCTCATGGTAGTGTTCTGTGCATTTTCCTACCCCTGGCCAGATGGGCCAAATCAGGACCCATGGGGGCTGGGGTGGACAGGACTGGGGACTGGGTGGGGGAATTCAGAGAGCTGTCCTGTTCCGTGTGGTCCTCATTTGCAAATCCATGCGGGGGCTGAGGAGGAACTCCTATGCCCCAGGACAAGCCCTAACTTCAGAGGTCCTGGAGCTCACCCTGGATGCCTGGGGAACTGGCCTGGTGGGCAAGGGCAGGGCAGGAATGGACAGGGGCTGACCCACTGCCTCTGCTGCCCCACCTGCTGGGCTGGGAAGAGCTCTACCCAGGAAGCAGGAAGGCCTAGCAGGATGCCGGCCTCTCCTAGGGCCCTCATCCCAGCCTTCTGGGGCCACAGGGGCCAGGGAGACCACAGTCTCCAGGCTCGTGAG